GAACCGCGGCATATACCCCCTGTAACTTCTGAAATTCTCTGACTGGCAAAGAAGTTGAGACGTTACTGGGGTATATGCCGCGGTTCTCTGGGGAACCGCGGCATATACCCCCTGTAACTTCTGAAATTCTCTGACCCAGTCAGCACCTGCAATAAATTGGCTGGGTATATGCCGCGGTTGTGCAGAGAACCGCGGCATATACTCTGTTATTTAATTTTTTATTCATACGTGGCGTCAAAGGCAATGGTTGACTGGGGTATATGCCGCGGTTCCCAGTAGAACCGCGGCATATATGTTCGTTTTATTTACAAAACTGCCACCGCGCACCATTATGCTGCGGTTTTCGTTGAACCGTGGCATAATGTGCGCTGTAAAAACCCGATTTTTTACTAGTGTTTGTTCATATTGTGGAGGTGGTGGACGTGTGTTAAGCAGGAGTTATTTGCTTGGGTGAAGAAGGTTATTTAAGCATATTTTTCGGCCAACCAAGATGATGCAATTTTGTAGTTGAAGATTGAAGATTTTTACTTATTTCTCTGCACTTGGTTGATGAATTGGAACCACTTTGTTGAAGGTAGATTATCAATTAAAAAAATTATGGTTTTATTCAACCGTGATCTAATATTATCATATTAACAGGTTTGGTGTTACTGTATTAGTTGAAAAACATTGAAAATAGACATCGATCTAAAGTCCAGAATCAGTGAATCTTTGAGTACATTGGTTGGACTTTCAGTGCAATATTTTGCCTTATTCTTACTTCAAAATCCACGTACACATATCTTCAACAGGTAAGTGTTATTGTTTGTTTATTTTTAATAAATATACGAATGCCTTTTTAATGTGTTATTCAATTTTTTTTTGCTTTATTTATAATGAATATATGAATGTGTTAATGTATTTTGTTTAATTAATATATGATATATGAATGTATGATTATATGAATAAAGTATGTTTAATGAATATATGAATGCATTAATTTAATTATAGTATGTATATTTGTTCAAGTAAATATAGATGGAAGAAGAATTAGATTTGTCTTACTTGGACCGTGAAGATATAGATGATGATGTGGTGGTGTAGACTTTAATATAGTCGCAATGCTACATCAATTACAAATAACTACCTCAGTGGTTGCACTAACAATGTTATGCATTGTTGGTGATGCCTTGAATATATTGAATATGTGCTCGAGTGATCCAAGTAGTGTTAGCAGTTTCGTACCCGACAAAGACCGTCGCAAGGAACAGTTAATGTCGTACCTGGTGCATACTAATCGATGTTGTGACATTATTCGGATGGGTCCAGAGGCATTTATTAATCTTTGTGAGAGACTAAGAACAACTGGGTTAGTTAAAGACGCTATTCGCTCGACATTGGAGGAACAAGTAGCCTAATTTCTTCATATAATTGGTCATAATGTTAAGAATCGAAGTGTCGCAGTTTTCTTCCACCGATCTGGGGCGACGGTTAGCAAACACTTTCACAATTGGATGCTATTTTAAGTCTAAAATCAGAATTTTTAACTCAGCCATCAGGAGATGAGGTTCATCCATATGTCTTGAACAACAGTCGATTTTATCCTTACTTTAAGGTAATCATTTGAATATGTCAGTGAAAATGTAATTTTATCAAACGATGTTAATGTTATTCACTTGTATGATGACTTCTAAATTCAATGTTTAGGATTGCTTAGAGGCCATAAATGGTACTCATGTTCGTGTAAGGGTGCCAAGAACAGATGCTCCGAGATTTCGTGGAAGAAAAGTTTGGCCAACTCAAAATGTGTTTGTCGCATGTGACTTTGAAATGAAATTCACATACGTTCTAGCTGGGTGGAAAGGCACAACATCAGATTCTAGAATCTTAAAAAAGGCTCTTGATCGAGATGATCCGTTGGTGATCCCCCAAGGTAAGTGTCTTAATTGAGATGTTATGATTCGTTCTTTATTAGTGACTAAATACTGATGTGTACAAATGTGTAGGAAAATACTATCTTGGCGATGCTGGATTTATGCTGAAGACTACGGTTATGACACCATATAGAGGTGTCAGATATCACCTTAAAGAACTTACACGCAGAGGAGCACAAAATCTACGCAAGCTCTTTAACCATCGACATTCATCATTGAGAAATGTTATTGAAAGAACATTTGGTGTATTGAAAACATGGTTCCCTATCATTGCAAGTGGCATTGAACCACATTATGGATTGGAGATATTGACAGACATTATATTAGCTTGTTGTATCCTACATAAATTTATCAGTGGAGTTGATAACGATGACCCATTGCTTATTGAGGTTGATAAGGAGTTGAATGAAAGGGAAGGGCATAATGTCTCATCTTCCCAAGTTCGAGAAGATGATTATAGGCTTGTTAGTACTATTAGGGATGCCATAGCAGATGAAATGTGGCGAGATTATCAAAACTCATACTTATTGTAATTGATTGTTTTTTATGACTATGTTATTTGAAAATCACATCTGTTTGCTTTTATGATTAATTAAACTTGACTTGTTACCATTTTGTTTATGAAATAGGTTTAATATGGACAAGGGTAAGGGAGTAACCATTGAGTCCTCTAGAGGTACAAGAAAGTTCATTAAATGGACAGAGGACATGGATGCTAGGCTTTTGCATTCTATGATCGAGGAAACCCGTTTGGATAATAGGTTTGATGGAAGCTAGACAACCCAAGCCTATAATAACATGGTTCAAAACCTTCATAGTTGTGGTTATGTTAATGTTAGTAAAAGTAATGTCAAAAATCGTCGAAAGGTGTTGAAAGATAGATGACGTGAGGTTCATGACCTCTTTGCTGGATTGAGTGGATTTGCCTGAAATCCCATAAGTATGAGATTTGAAGCTGAGGACGAAGTCTAGGACGACCTCATTCAAGTATTTGTTAAATATTCAGATTTGGTGGATTCTTAAAATACATAAGTTCAACCACTATCTATTTAATTTATGTTGTTTCAATCGAGGCCAAGTGCATCAAACTAGAGAGTTAACAGTATCATACACTACGATTTAATGGTGGAATTATGGGTGGCGGATCGAGCTATTGGGAGTGGTGTTCGGATCGCTCGTCAAGCACGTCGACAGCGTGTTGGGCCTCCTGTACAGGTTGATCTGAATCAGAATATGGAGTACATTCCTGAAGAGCCTATCTATCCAGGGTATATAGACCCAAATGTCCTTGGCTCTACAAATGTTCATTTTGGTGTAATTTCTGATGCAGTCGTCCGTCAAGTCTCAACAATAGAAGATAGAAATCAAATACTCCGTCGCACCTCGACGTACACATACACAGAGGGCGACATTTATGAAATGTTGAGTGCTATGAATATTGCTAATGAAAACTTGCTCGAGCATTGTTATCATTTCTTATGTGGAAACTCCACATGTACTAAGAGGTTGATGGGACTTCCACCACAAAGGAGGTGGAATAAGTTATGTAAAATGATCTCGGGTGGTGACTGTTAGGGATGTCTTCAATGATTAGTTGTATTACAATTATGCTATTATATGTTCAATGTACCTGTTTTGTAATTGTGAATTCTTCGTTTTCATCCATGTTCAACTTTTAAGTTATGGTTATGGTTATGATGTAATGGTTTGTCTTTGCTTATTGTTATTATTAATATTCAATAATTTGTTATGACTTAATTTGTTATTGTTTTTTTTTGTGGTTTTGTTGAAGAAATTGTTAAATGGCCTCATCATCAACCAAAGGCCTAGAAAAAGTCGTAAGAGAAAAGAGATCATAACTGAGGCAGAAGCTGCAACCTATGTCAGACCATCTATTGAAGAACAATTAGATCAGCGTCGTTTCTTCAGTCACAGCCATCAGATTGAAAACTATGCAGCTGATTTCTACACAAGGAATATTGTTGTCCCAAAAATAATGAATTTCGAATCATTTGCCGGTTCAACCTTATATTTTCAACATCATCTTCTATTTCAAGGAGTGGTTGAATTTTTGGCTTTGCAGGCACCCTTCTATCCGGATTTGATAAAAGCTTTTTATTCAAATATGAAGATTTCTGGAAATGGATATTTGCTCAGTGAGGTCAACAAGAGAATAATTAGATTGAAACGTGCTGATTGGTTGAATGTTGCTATAATATGAAGTATGAGGGTCAAAAATTTTGTTATTCAAATATCCCAGATGACTTTCCATATGATTGGGATATGACATTAGCTACTATGGTTAAATGAGTTAAAACAGTTGGTTCTTTGAATATTAATGATAGACTTCTGCATTATGTTGTTGTGCACATCACTACAAAAAAGAAGGACATTACCGAAGGCCACAATCCCTCGGAAACCACCAGAAGCCGTCGATAGTGACCTTTTACCGACGGCTTATCGACGGCCAAATGACCGTCGATAAATCCCTTGTCACTAACATTTAC